ATGATGAGGGATGGAGATTTTCCTGTCTTAGCCAACTCGGAGATTTGTCCGTCTCAATAATTATCGAGAAATGAATATGGCTTTTTGTAAAAATATCACAACGAGGATTCGATCTGCATGGGATTACTGCAGCGACAACCCGAACGGCACTCGTCAAGCTCTCTTGCAGTTATCCTCAAAAAAATTGACTCACAGGCCTTATCCGAGTCATGCCGTCGTGATTATGATTTATACCGCGTACGATTATTATGACCATTGCAGATTATCATGATTATGATTTTTTATCAGATTTGCTCGATATTGTTACAGTGGATAACGTGAGTAAAATCCTGAAAGCGGGCCGCAAAGCATCGGTCACTCGAATGCTTAACGACACAGCTAAAGGGCTCAAGCATGTCTATCAGCTATCACATCCATCCCAGGAAGACCTCATCTATGATCTCTTCAAATGCCCAAAGAAGCCTGATGAAGCATCATTAGGCAAATTACTTTCTGTAAGTTATCATGAATTTCTTAAACACAAGAAATATTTGGAATTCACAGTAATTCACAGTCCAAATTTCAATATACTGACAACAATAGCTTTGACCAACACTGAGCTGGCCAATGGTCATTCTGTTGACGATCTTGTCGTTTCTCATGTTTTCAAAAGGGATTACCAGCTCAAACGCCGTCTCAGCAGACACACTTAACTAGGCCGTCTTCTTTCAGTCTCCTAGCCAGGGATATTCACTGATTGTGTCTTTAAAATTTCTACAACGCTTAGCCGTTTCGAGACTCCCTTAATATTTTTCGGGTATCATCCTTAACCTGCGATGGAGCCCCTTGCTGATCTTAAGTTCCTGCCGTTTCCAGCGTGCAACTCATTCATTCGTTCGTTAAGGTGCTCCGGTCCTTCGGCATTCGCGAAGATGATCCACGACTGAAGCATACCATCGAAAAGATGCGCGAATATGAGTTGCAATCAGTGGATGACTCAGACACAAAGCACTGCTTGCTGAACAAAGACCAATTCAGAGAGTAAGTCACTGGTACCAAAAATGCGAAGAGCGTCTGGGTAATCTATAAGTGCATCCAGAGCGGCCCCCTGGGAGAGGCGACGAGCCCGGGGGGCGGGGGGAGTTGAAGGAAGTGGATCTACTGATGTGGTGATGACGGCAAGATGGGGAGAAATGAGGCTCCTGGAAAGGGGGAGGGGGGAGGGGAGCGACCGAGCGTGTGGAAGAGAGTTTTCTACAGTTTTAGCACTGCTTCATGCGCCGTTGGGGGCTAAAGACCCATTGGCCTCCCTCCCCCTAGATCTGCCTACGGGTAATCTGTGTGGATTTTTGACAGTAACTCTAGGAGCTAAAAGCAAGCTAAGCTAATTCATTGTAATTTAACTTATGAAGCTAAAAACGAGCAGAAGCTTCAGCTAAAAACAACATGTTAGTCATTATTAGCATCCTGGGCGGTGATTTTTACGGCCTGGGGAAAGTCCTTCCCTATTGCTATACCTTGCTCGGGCGGCCATTGATGCAGCTGGTAACTTCTCCATTTTGTCTTCCTTTGAGCTTCTAGTAATCTCAAATGTAGGCGATCAATTATAACCTTATTTTCGCGTGTTTGCAGATGCATTCGACCGAGCATCAATCTGATTGCACAGGCTCTCCGTAACGAACTGATCATTCCAAGCTGGGGCGAATTCATTGCGAAAATCGGAGAGATGTTTCACAAAGTAATTAAATCTCTCGTTGCCTCGATTTTAATGTTCACGGCTTTCGGACTCCTTGTTTGCATGCAGTAGTTTTTTAATCAATAATCCAAACTTTATAAAAAGCATAGCGCAGTGGGAAGTAGCACTGTTGTCGCGCAGTAGGTCGAAAATTTGACTCTGCCAGTGGGGCAAGCACGGCCTCTCTGCGATTCGTTCATTCATTTTGATGGTAAATTGGTACAGGCGAATACCAGGATGCCCATTTTTTTGTTGGCGTTCTGTTAAAGTGATTTGCTGAAGCATGTCTCAATAAGTAACTGGCTAAAATTCATAACATGTAGTACATGGGGAGCCTGATTTTGGCGATTTTCAGTGCTCTGAATTACCCGAAGGCAAAGTAGCAGAATCCACTCCGCAGTTGGCCAGAGCAGATCCAAACAAGTGGGGAATTTCGATCTGCACAATCGATGGACAGCGAATCAACTTGGGTGACGCGCGAGTGCCGTTTTGTTTCCAATCCATTTCGAAAGGTATTCAAGATTACTTGGAAACCAGTTTGGCAAACTGATGGATCTTTAAGATTTTTGTTGAAAAAAACACGCCATAGAAAAAATATAAATAATCTGGGTGCTTAGAAAAGTCTGCTTCTTCAGCTG